TCGATATGTTTTTGTCAAATTTTTATGATATCTTCAAACATATATTTTATTCAAAAATAAAAACATCATCGTTTTCTCAAAATCACATAAAACCATATTATAACATCGACTGAGATAAAGAATAAAATGAAATATTAAAATCATGATGTATCTCGCTGCATTGCGCGAGTACGTTTCTAGTTAATGCTAATGCACCAGCACTAGCAATACATGCTTGCTTTTGCATTTTTAAACACAATTACATATGAAAGTTTTGAATATTTATTTTCTACTGTTTGAAGTTGATGTTTATTCCATGATGTGATTCTTATTTGCAATTACTTGAATGTTTTTAAACGTTGATTCTTTTCCGTGTGGTAATTAGTGATGGATGAGGGTGTAAGCGTAAGGTGGACAAATAAAAGCATCAATGTTTTTTGGAGACTTGTATAAGATTGATTTTGGTTGTTATGAAATTTTGTTTATGTTTTCTATTGTGTTTGAATCGATTGATGTATTTTAGTTGAATTTTTTAATGTATTAAAATGGATGGTAGTATTTTTATGAATGTGTTAAAAATGGATTGTAGTACAATTTAATTGAAAATGTAATGATGGTTTTATAAATTCAACGGTATAAAATTTGAAGGGATAAAATAGACGATTATACATGTACAGACATTTATTATTTTACAAAAACAAGCAGTCTTATTGATAAATTTCAGATTTCAGTACCACCTCTCATCAATCAAAGTGAAATAAGAATTCAAACTTCGATATTTCTTAAAAAACAAATACCACCTATGTCTTGATGTTGATGTGTGTGAAGAAAAATTTATAGAGGGGTGCATTGATCTATTTAGCCCACTCTTTTTAAAGAAGATGGTGCTGTATATATACATCTATTTACATTAAATTCAGGTCAAATCATACATTAAAGATGTTGATATGTTTGAGTCGAATATTAACACATAAGTGCGCATTTTTACTAAACGCTTACTTGGTAAGTGCTTACCGGATAATTTTCTTTACCGAATGAACATAGAAAGAGTCAAAATCTTACCCGGTAAGAACAATGATAAAGATGATGGAGAGTCTTACTCGGTAAGTAAGAGTGACGACTCTTACCCGAGTAAGTGCTTCCAGGTAAATTGTTGCATATGATACTATTTTGATGTAATACAATCTTACCTTATAAAATAAGTTATAGTATTGACTTCTAACGATAAGCGCTTACCGAGTAAGCATTCAAGTAAACGATCCCTTAGTCTACCGCTTCATTGCCTCTGCTTTAAAAAAATCTGCTTTGGAAATACACACACAATCTGGTCATTATCCAATCCAGACCAATGTGCACGTAACTTCCCAAATACAAGTTTTTATGAACAGCTAAAACACAGTTGCAACATTACAACTTCCATAGAAAATTCAATGCCCCCGTTTCGGGTATACAAATTCGATTACTCGTAATGGGAAATAATTGCAAAAATTGGAAGTATTTTCATGAAAGTAAGCACCATAAGATGCATATACTGAAGCATTTAAATGTAACCCAATGCATTGTTGCAGCAGAAAGATGCACGCAATTGTCATAAAAATCAATCTTTGGAAGTTTTTTGCGTTAACTTTAAAAGTTGCCTTAAATTTGAAGTTGTATAAAATTATCATCAATCGTTGTATTTGCGCAATCACACAACAAACAATTTAATTTTAAGAAAAGAGGAAAAGAAAAGAAAAAAAACCCTTTTCAACGATGCAGCTGCAGATCATTTTCACGGTAGAGGCTAGAAAGACCACAAGGATTAATTGCCTGGAATTCTCACGCTCGTATCAACAACATATCCACTCGAGTTTTGAAACAGGATCCTCCATCTCATAACTTGCTCCGCCTGCTAACAGAAAAAATATACAACTTTTCACAACCTGCAGATAAACCGACCCGGAATATCTAATCTGGAGTTAAAGATGCACTACAACAAAATTGGGTTTCGTTTACCAAACACTTACCCGGTAAGTGCTTACCAGTAAAATATAACAATATTATTTACTTACCGGGTAAGGTTTTAGTCCATCAAAACAACATCGTATGCAACAATTTACCCGGTAAGTGCTTACCGTGGTAAGAACCGTCGCCCCCACTTACCGGGTAAGATTCTTGGTCATTGTTTCGCTCTTACCGGGTAAGATTCTTGGTCCTTACCATATTCATCCGGTGAGGCAACGTGACTTGATAAGCACTTACCCGGATAAGCGTTTGGTAAACGGCCCCTAAATGTCCTAACATACTGCTTCATAAACGCTTTTAGGCATCTTAACAAGTTTGAATACAGTGGCCTATTAAGACGACATTGAGAAGTGTCTTATGAACAATCTTTTAATACGACACTAGTATTTAGGACATTTTATTTCAAAAATTGACCTAAAAAACATGTTTAGACACCCAAAAGTTCCCCCGTAAACTTATTGTAATAGTTTTACATAGGATACAAGTCCTATAAAGCAATCTATTAGGGCATTTCAGACATTACTGGTCCTATAAACCCGATCTTAATGTATTGATGTTCGCAGACCTTACCTTTGTTCGAAATAAACAAAGAGGTTTCAGCGGAGACCCCTGGTTTGCGGAAAAAAAAAGATTCAGAAAACAAGAATAGTAAACAATTTAAGCCTCACCTGTGCTGGTTTCAGGAATCCCTGTTTCAGAGGGTTCAATCCTTCACCAATCAAGAGTCAATCATGCCATTTCTGGGGTGCAAACCTCCATTTGAAGTGATCCTTCTAGTTCCAACAAGCTCATAAATACCAAACGGCAGAATCAGATTCCATATGTTCTGTTATACAGATCACCTGAAGTCGGCAGCTGGAATTTTGTATCCTCGTGACCTGAATAATATCTGTTGAATCCCAGTCTCTCGTTTCTGAGGAGCTCTGCAATTGCGATATCATTTCCACCCTGAACTTCATTCCAACCATTCCAGTGACCATTAGACATGAGGGAACTCCTTGGCTGGTGGAAATCGGTCTGCTGATAAGGGGAAAGATTATTTGACAGAGGTTGTTCAACAATCCGTGAAGGAATTCCATAAGAATCGGTGTGCTGAGGATAACCATCTCCTAGTTCAGTAAATCTAGGGCTTTGCTGAGAAAAGGATCTTTGCATCAGAAGTTGAAGTCTAACATCATTTTCAAAAGAATTCGGCTGCGGATGGAAGTTTGATTTCATGTCAAAGCTAGGGCTAGTAAGTCCACTAGGGACTCTACCACCAACTGCCAAAATTGCAGGATCCATAAACTCGAAATCACTAACACCACCAATATTTACAGGGGCTGATGCTTGATGTGCTTTTCTCAAAATTGGGGAAGTGTTGAACATATGGTTCCCTGAAAAATAAGTTGATTAATATAACAAGTCAATTAGGAAGTGAGTCCGACATGTTTAGGGGCTGTTTGGGTGTTTTTCATTAAGCCCTTGTATGGATTAAACTAAAGTGACGTTTGTTTGTTCTGCAGAATGACATAAATAACTATTTTACCCCTCAGTCTAGATTAAGCACCAATTAATATAATTTTTTGATAAATATGCTGAATGGTTGATTCAGAATGATGATAAAATCAAGCCAAACCATCCCAGTTTATCCCGGAGATGGGGGACGGGGATGTACAACCTCTACCCCAAGGAGTAGAGTGGCATGTTCCATGAATAAACATGAACAGGAAATAAAGCAATTGAGCAACTAACCAGATAGATTATCAAAAGTTTGTTCCATCCTCTCGTGAGAAGTAAAGCCTGGAGGTGGAGCTCTGTTCGGCCCCGAAAAACCAGGAGGAGCAGATACCTGTGATCTTGAACCTGTTCACATTGGCCAAATTAGAAGAATTGCCTATGAGAACCATACTCATACCCAACGGCGCATAAAAATAATTTTAGGGTTTAGAAAAGAATCTCTTTGCTAATTTTTTTACAAACACAAAAATCTGAATCATAAGTGGCCAGAACATACCTGAAATCTTATTTTCGGACATAGGAGAATAATTGGTGGCAAAATTATCAGAGTCCTCATAGCTAAAAGAAGAGAAACCGTTGCCATTACTTCGCTTGTCGTCATAATAACTACTATTGTTTCCGCCAAAACCAGGGCCGAAATTCTTATGTTCAAGACCTCTCCCAAAATCACTTAAATTCGGTGCATAACTGGATCCTTGATCTGTGCATTCATCCTGTCTTGCAAATGCGAACCGTGACTGGTTGCTGTTCTGTGTTTTCCTTGAACTTAAAACTCTATGAGATTCAGGTTGTTTATCACTTCCACCTAAAAATTTAGCCAAGTTCTGAGGTGAAGTTAAGGATTCATCCCAAGGGTCAAACTCCATCGACAAAATATTAGATATTATACTGCTTTCTCCTAAATCTAAGGCACTACTGTGGGCCCCTTTTGCTGGTGTTGCTTCTTCAAACATTCCCATTTGCCTTCTACCCCCTTCTGTACCATGGAAGCTAGAATGCCCATTAGATATGTCTACAGAAGAATTACCAACTAAAGTAGATGAGTATCCATTAAATGCATGTTGGGGAGCCTTCTCAAGATTTTGATCCACTGGAGGGTCTAGACTGCCATTAGACGAGAAATGTGTATGTTGAGAAGAAAAATGAGGCAGATTCTGTATATAGCCTGTTTGTGTAACAACTTCTGTATCCCTTAGCCTCTGGTCATTGAAAGACAGCAAATCTTCTTCCGCTTCACTAATTGCAACTTGTGCTATTTTCTTTTGCAAATTTGATACTAAATCAGATTGTTCTTTTCTAATAGAATCATCCATGGTGAGTTTGGCAGGGATTTCTGCTTCATTTGGCACCAAAGATTCTGCAAATTGCTCTGACTCACAAAGTTGTAATCTTTGATTCTTATCAATGCTAGATAGGTTGTGAATCCTTCCTTCATCAGCAAGATTTAGGTCCTTGTCGAGAACAGGATTTGAATAATGCCTGGAAATCTCTGAAGAACTGGAGAAATCAGGTACCACATTACCAGATATGTTTTTCTCCTTTGGTGAAGTTGTATAAAGCTGGCTGCTTGAGGTCGAGGAAGAAGGAAGTTGAGAGGTAACAACTGTCTCAGACAGCGTTCTTCTGTGGTCCGTGCCCACAACTTTTTTCATAGACCCTGGATTAACTTCTTGGAAAGTGTGGATTTCTTCACTATGCTTCTTTATTATCTCATCTCCATGAGATAACGGACTCACTACTGCTGACGAAAATGAAAGTGTAGTACTGCACGGGTCGGCTTGTTGCTTAGATTGTCCTTTGAAATTTGCTACATTTGCCACAATAGGCTGGCTATTTGAAGCACGTGTTCCCCTGTAGCACATCAAAGTCAGTAGATATATAATAGACAAATTGTATGAAAATACAACGTACTCTGGTCTGATTTCTATTTTGTGTAACGTACTTTCAAAACCTTCATTTTGGTACCAATATCTCAAACATTTAGGCCACATTACGTTATACAAAATAGGAATCGGACCAAAGGAAGTTGCATTTTCAAACATTTAGGCCACATTATGTTACACAAAATAGAAATCGGACCAATATGTTGCACTTAACATGCATTCTCGAATGTAAACCGGGAACCTAAGTGTTCAGAGATGTCACATATAAGGTACCAAAATGAAGGTTTAGAAAGTACGTTATACAAAATAGAATGCGGACCAAAGTACCTTGCATTTTCATGCAATTTACCCTATATAATATGAATATAAATGTGAGCACAAGGACTTTACCATGAGGCTGCTGCAGGAAGAGCTACTGATCTCCCAGAACTGCTATTTGGTGGGGAAACTTTCATGCCGTTTGCTGGATTCTGCTAGTCATAAATGACAAAAGTCATCAGTGAAATCGATATCGATCTATAGCTCCAATGACCATCATTCGCAAAACATTACTCACCATAACAACAGCATTAAACCATTAATAATTACATGCAATAAAAGAAGAAAACATTCAATCTGAAAAGTTCATCATGATAAATTGAAGTGTAAAATGGTCTCTTAAAACCATCATCCTCAGTTTAGAGGTCCTAAGCATGCTTAATCTCACTACAAGATGAAACAGAAGGCTTACATATCAAACAGAAAAAATTCAATCAATCAAGGTCTTAGGTTAAAAGAAAATATTAGATTTTGCAGAAACATAAAACCAAAGAACAAAAAGGTCAACACAGAATATCTTACATTGGTGGTACTTTTACTAATAGGTTTGGCCCATGGAGAAGTGCTGTTATTAGAGTGGTCATCAGCTGGAGGAGGTAAAAGATTTCCTGAGCGCCGTTGCATGTCAGTCGTAGCACCAGTAATTTGCTGAACTCTATTCCTTTAAAACCACTATGTAAGTTAATTTGGGGGGGCAATAAACCAACACAGAATTCCAACTAACAAAATAAGTGAAATGTATCTCGAGACCCATAATCCTTAAATCCTTTTAGAAGCATCAACCACATAATCCTTGAATAACTCTTTCACTAATCCTTATATAAATATACACATAAATATACATGGAAGCCCTCCATATATAACATTTAAAATGAGAGCTTCCTTCATCAAGACAGCTTAGATGGTTCAGAAACTATCTGAAAGCCTGCAGTTTCCCTCTTGAACACCTTTGAAGGCTAATTAGGACCCATATATAGCATTTCAAGGGAAAGAAAAACATGAATCTCATTATAAGCCGTACATCAAACTTCATGCTTGCATCATCAATCAAGTGGTAATCTGCAACCAAACACCTTGATACTATCTAATCTAGGAAGGAATTTTAAATTTGTAAAAGGATCAGATTTATTTGTCATCACAACGGAAAAGTGGAAAACCAACACCTTTAGATAGCTTGCAATATAACCCTACCTCTGCATTTCTCACAGATAGAAATAACCTTTTTGAAACAACATCACTGTCTAGATACTAGAGCACTTGATATTTGCTTGCCACAAAGTAAATACTAATGTTTCACACGAGAAGTGGTAGGACACGTATTAGGTTATGAAGGTTGAACAATAAAAGGGGTGTCATGTTTTCGAAGAGCTAATCAGCTAGGTAAGTAGCACATATGCTAGAATCTCTTCAAATGTTGCAAAAGTGGGCTGAGAAGAGAGAACTAGCTCATATAAGAGGAAAGATAAGTAGCTCGTTAGAATAAGAAAGGAAATGAAAGAAATCAAAGGAAAGATGTGGCTCGATCTATAAAAACTTCCCCAACAAAGTCTATAAATATCACTTCTTTCAGATTTTTTGAACAACAAACATAAATAGACGTAATCATTTAAAAGCCTTCATTATCTATCATTACCTTGGAAGAAATTGTTTGTAGTCAATGGGGAAAGGATGTGTCAGGATTTACCTCTCCCTTATGTCTTCCAGAACACCAATGACCAACCAAGTTAATGTCCTCATAACCATCTCCCATCTAGAAAAACTGACTTAACTATAGAATGTCCTCACAACCATAGCCATACTTGAACAAGCAAGCAACCTAAAGACATCCATACACCTTTCAAAGACTTGCAGATAGTTCCCACTGAACTAAGAGCTGCTAGTTGTTCCATGTGACTTAATTGGTATCTCAAAGGACTAGCCAAATGCTTCATGAATATTCTTTCCAGACAATTCTAAGAAATTTGGAAACATGGATAAATCAACAATTTGTAGGTATCATGCAATAACAAAATGAAAATACCTTGTATATGCTGATATTATTTCATCTTTAGTGAAGCTATCTTCTTGCGGTCCAAACTCGTGCAAGTACAAACAATCAGCATTGGTGCAAGGCTGGATCAAACAAAATGAAAATGCTCAACACCCAATGAATATTATAATATACCATGTTGAGGAGTAAAGCAATAAACTGAATTGCCATCAAGTCATTTTATTTATCATACCGCATTCCTCAGCCATGCATGACAGTACTTTGTGGTCCCAAAGCAGGCCCTGCAACAGAACCCCACTTGCTGTCATGTAAAGTAAGAGAAGAAGAAACATATTGCTCACGTGATAGTCTTCCAACCTCAAAGGTCTACCCTCCAAAACAAAGCCATGTGCTGACTGTATACTACGGACTGCTTCTTCCTCCTTGGAGTAAGTAATATATCTGGACAATGCGAACATCAGGAATGGAGAAGTTGGTCAGGAATAAAAGCAAACTACAGCTATAAACGGAAATGCATATCCAATTGACACAGGTATAACTTTATCAGGTTCAACATGTATAAGATCCACAACTACAGCCTCTTATGCAGATATAGTCATACATACCCATATATAAAAATACCCAACATCTGAAATTATATTGGATATCCAAATTGTGCCTGCATATGAAATTCGCCATATGTTCCCAACTTCATATTTGATAACATATTATATTATTAATATCTACTACTACCTCCATCTAAAAAAGGTGTCCACTTTAGTCTGAACTCTGAACAACTTTACATTTGATTAAATGATTGATGAAACTTCATCCAACTTTATAGTAGTTAGGGTAGTTTAAGAACTTCAATACATCTATATGTTAGGGTTCGGAATTTAGACTTCTTTGCAAAAATAAAACAAAGTGAACTATTTCTTAGGACAGATGGTGTTATATCATTTATAGCAAATCACAACGACTGAAATATAGTTCACCAACAAACCCTGTCCGGACATTTTCAGAAAAAGAAACACTTCTGTAAAGGATTGTTGCCAACCGTATGGGCCGTCTAGAGACACAGAAACTAAACCATTTAGCCTTCAAAAACCTATGCTTGGTATATGTGTGTGAAACATAGAGCATCTTTATGTATTTCACAAGTCTTTTGGTTTGTTATTCTGTATTTTACCGAAAAGCAAACTTTTGGTTTGTTCATCTCTGTTAGCTTCCATCTTCTAAAGAAAAGGGTTTAACATTTTGGATATGAGAGTTGAGATATTTTTTGGTATACATGCCAGATTTCAAATTCAGCTACACATGCCCATGCTACAGTGTCTGCTCTGCATTCACTCTGTTCCTACCCTAGAGCAAACTGTGCACCAAGTGCAGATGTGACAAATCTAATCTGCCCGTACTAATCTGTAGGATGAAGAGTATATTTGATTCACAAATTGGTATAAAACTATAATTTTTATGTATATAGAAACTACTTTTAATATTGCAATGAAGAATTACAAGCGATCACTCAAGAAAACCAAACAATATCAATTTCAATTGTCCATATAACCAATAACACTTGAACTTACACACTACAAGTACTGTTAGCGAATTGCTGAATAGCACCAGCTGCTGTCCGTGATATAGACACTTTTAGTACCTTCCCATACTGACCAAAATATTCTTTCTGCTGCAGAAGCTGATTATATGATTATAAAACAGAGATTAGGTTGAAAATCCAAATGAAATAAAGATGAAATATCTGAGGGAAGAGCATGCAAGCAATCAAGAAAGAGAATACATACATCTTCATCTGCTAAATTTAGAGGTAGCCCTACAATGTAGACAAGATTACGCTGAATAACCCTCACACTGCCAAGCTGCTTTCTTCCTTCGGAAGATTTAATTTTCCCCTTCTGTGACTTTTGTTTCTTCTCTACACTCATTCCAGTAACCAATCTGATGGCATTATAGAGAAGTTAAGGAAAACAGTAAGAACAATAAATGAAAAATAACAAGCTTTGATACAGCATATCATACAGAGTCAAACCTTTCACATTTTGAAGCTGTCCCCACAATCTTTTCCTTGTTATAAGGGGTACGACATGCTGGGCACCGCCCTTCGGTGTTATCCTTCTCAGCCATATCCATTATGTGGTGCCAGCACCAGACACAGATCTGTCGATATAATGGTTCATCAAGGCTACAATAAGTTGCACAAACCATGCAACCATCGTACAATAATAAAAATATACCAGCAAATAATTATGAGATACAAATAGAAGGGAATTTGATAGCAATCAACTGATCTGAAAACTAAAAACACACAGTTTATCATTTCTGCTAAGAAGACAATAAAAAAATCATAATAACTTCCTTTTCATACTTTTAGTCCAAATATGAGTCCACAGAAAAGTTACAGAACAATATAATGATCCAACAACATGGGTCATCACAAGAGATCCATGGCCTAGACGCATCACTCAAAGAGCACCGTGAAAGACTGTCAGGAGCTCAGGGTGAGAACTGAGAATGTTTTGCACATGAAGTGGCTATTGTTGCTTAGGAATGTATGATCAGTCTCTCACCGAAGAGGCATACTTATGACACTTCTTCCAACTTCCAAGTTTTTTCCAGAATTGCAATTACCTGGTGGGTTAGAGTGTCTATACATGGCCATGCCATCCACCAAGGATCCCAACAGAAGAGGAAGATGATTTCAACAAATGCAATTTCCAAATCCAGCATTATGATAATATGGAGTAAAGCATCTACCAAAATAACAGGCTAACAAGTGGAAATAAGGATTTTTTATCCCAATTAAGTTGCTAACTGTGGATTTCAAAGATACAACAATATATGGGGGATTCGTTGTTCAGCAGTAAAATTAGATAACAACATGGCTATTGATTGACAATCGTTCAACATCAAGTATATTGAGAACAAGTACTAGCTTCCACATGCCAATCAATTTGAAGTATAACGCCACCCATAAGAATTAAAGCGCCACATTGAGAAGATAAAGAAAGTAACTTTCTAACAACTAGCACAAATTAAAAAAACAAAAGTTCCACACCTCATAACCACACTTGCAAGGCTTCAGCTGCTGATCTGTTAGATCCATCTCTTCAGCACAAAGTGGACAAGTCTTTTCTCCTTCATCACTCATGGTTTCCTAAACGAGGAAACACGATATGATCATCATCAAACACAATTACAAATAAGATGACTGTCAATTCTAAGATTTATACATGCATTATGCACCCACATGTTTTGTCTCTAGAACAAGCCAAGTTGCTGCAACCTTACCACTAATATTTCTAAGCTTGTCTTCAAATAAAGGCATACACACATATAGATATACATATATATGCACAAATATGTACATACATATATTTTTGTGTGCCTTACAAAAATACAAGTTTCGCTATTTAAAATAAACCTGAACTCCACACACTTTTTTAACCTGAATATGCCTTCTTTACATATTTGCTACAGAAAAACTATAGCAAGGGCACGGATATTTTTAATCCTAATTCCTAGGCCAATTGTCAACTTCATATGCTGCACATTCCTATTAGTAAAGATTTTCAGGAAACCTATAGCCCAAAACTATACAATAAAAAAACAATAGCAGAAAGAAACCTAAACTCATTCTAAACTATAAATGAGATTCGGAAAAAAGAAAACCAACTAGCAGTTTTCCCAAATCGAATCCATAACACCCTATCCATTGGTGTATCTCCGCCATCGATTTAACAAAAATTCAACCAATCGATCAAAAAAACACTAACAAACATCTAAAATACTACATTAAATCCAAAAAAACAGCTCTTATTGAACACATAAATCCGCAACTTAATTTCATTGGGTGGAGCTCAGGTAAAGCTGCAAGACACATATAGCATCATCATAACACAAACATGAATTGTATCATCAATCAGATAAAAGCAATAAACACAGAACAACATACGATTACAGATACGGTCGTGCAAAGCATAAAATTAGGGATCTCCAATCAAAAAATGGAAACAAAAAAGAGATCTACAAGAATCAAGAATCAATCGAGAAACTGAAATAAGATACTTACAGTGGTTGATGAATCAACGAGAGGGGAAAGTAGATGAAGAATCGAAGCACGCGATACACAGAGAACCACAAAGCCTAATTGGGAGTGAGTGAGAGCGTAGGGGGTCGTCGTATACGGATGGGTTTTTTAAGCTTTTGCTGTGTACCCATTTTTTCATTATGGTGTATGATATAAATTTTGTTTTAAATAAAAATAAAATAATTTTTTTTAATCATTAATATAATTCTTCACTCTAAATTCCTAAAAGCAACGGTCATAAAATTCTACATGTCGTCCACGTTTAGTAAAATTGTGTTATTTTTCTGTTATATTTCATGAATATTATAAATTCTTTCATTTTACAAATCATATTCGATAATCGTAAAACTTTTAATGACATCATAAATAAAACTCGTTTATTTTTTCGTGTCAATAAAAAAATTCAAATCATTTACATTTGATTTTATTTATAACGAAAAAAAATAACAAGAAATTTATATCTTTTGAAAACTAGTTGTATACTCGTGTAATGCGGCGGAGAGCCGTGAATTCTAACGATTTTGAAGTTTCATTGGTTTTATTAGAGAAGATTTAACGATAATATAAATTACATTTGGTCTTTACATATTAATACAATTTGAATAAATAAGAGTTATGGTTCCAATTATAGTTTATCGATAAAAAAAATTATATGACAGTTTAGAATCCAATATATTTAAAATCCAACATATTTAAACGACTCCACAAATGTGTTCGATTTACACCAAGAGCAAAGAATCAAGAGAACGAGTCTGAGAGTTGTAGAGCAATTGAATGAGAGATGAATGAGATACTTTTAACAACTCATAATGAATATCAATTTGAATCTCACCTTGAGGGATGAGAAAGTGAAGACATGACTGAAATGTGTCAAAAGTATCTTGGGAACATGAAAAAAAAATTAATAATGTGCATTGGTAACTTGTACTATATGTTATTTTAATTGTAAATTAAGAGATTTTAAGACTAAAGGGTTGTTTGGCAATTGCTAAATGTTTGGCGCAAAATGATCAAGTGGTCAGAATCATTAAGAGACTCTCATGATATAGTGCAAAATGAAATATAATTGTTTGGTAATTGTGTACAATGAAATTAGGGCTCTTAATGGTTAAGGGAGATTCAGGATACAAAATCATTCAGAAGATTTTATAACCATTAAAAGGCAAACTTTTTTTTTGTCAAACAAGATTCACCTCTTAACGATTCAAATGTTGCCTCTTAATAAAACTATTAAGAGATAAACAAACAACCGCCAGATGCATAAAGTAATAGTACTTAATGCATTATGAGTTGTTTTTAAGACTTTTAAGACTTTGTGCATGAATGTATAGTACTTTATGCATCAAATATTGTTTTTAAGACTTTTGAAAAATCTGATTTATAAGATAATATAGATAAGTAAATTGAGATTTATATTCATAAATGAACTGTCAAGATGTTTTAAATTTACATTAAATACAGTTTGATGTTAGATATAATTGTTTTCAAAATTGATTAAATTACAATAATTTCACTAAATATCATTACTATAATAAAAACAAAACAATAAAGTTCAATCATGAAAGTAAAATCAATCTAAAATTAAGTAATTAAGAAAATTAAAAAAGTTAGGTATAGAAAATAATCAACTATTTGATAATAATTTTATTTTGATTTTTTGACAAAGTTTAATTATTATTCTAAATAATGGGGCCCACCAAAAAAGAGGATGGTGCAATGTTCTTGGCTTAGAGTGCCACCTCATGGATGAAACTATCACCCTCCAATGTTCCTTGAACCACTAACAATTCTTGCACCTTTAGCAACAAAGGAATCATTAACATCATTGTTATTGTATATGTTAAAATGTTATCATAGCTACAATTTTACATAACTCACATTAAGTCTTACAAATTCCGATTCAAAAATGACGACTGTGAGCATTTTTCGACTTTGCAACATCCAGAAAAACATATAGACTTGAAAACACCCAAAATAATGTGATCAAGATTCAAGAAACTTGACATAAATGCAACGAAAAGTGTTTGAATGTGATTTGGTCTGACCTGTGGAGATTCCACAACAGAGGACGCAAACTTGTAAAGGTGCAAGAGGGTTGATTTTGGCAAGGGATCCAATGTGAACCATGGTGCAAGGGATCCAATGTGAACCATGGTGTATTTGCTAAAATATGAAGTTCCAAAGAAATGAAAAATGGGTTAGCCTTTGATCCAAAATCATGATTTCAGATCGTGAATCATGACTCCTTACTTGGTGATTATCCTCATGAGGTCGCACATGTTGCTCTCTTCGAACTTACAGTGAGCACATTGTCTGCATTCTCCAGTGAAAACAAGGAGAACATGGTCTCTCAGCTGAAGTTTCAATTTTATACAAGAACTCCTCATGTTCTAAAATTCGAGGAAACAATGGATTCTGACCCTGAAAAGCTCATAGAAATAACGATTAATTTCGACAAAGATCAGTGTCAAACACGAAACAATTAACAAAGGCATAGTATAAAGCTAATAGATTACTTTGATGCGCATGAGTAAACATCAATGTGGGACAGGGAGGTGAAGAGGATCTTTATTCGGACTTCCCTCTTTTTGGTGGTGCCCTTCCACTTCTTCAAGCACCAGTAGCTTCCCATGCCACAACTACTAAATGCAACTTACTTCCATGATCAGCACAACACAAATGCCATCAAAAGTGTGAATGAAATGCTTGCATTTGCATCGAATCAATGGACCAATGTTAGTCGGCGTTCTTGATGCTTCTTGTTAATTGTTATCGCTGAAACATATATTCCTTAACAAATTTATTTACTTGTGTTTGTGGTTGAGATTAAGATGAATCGATAATCAAAAAGGCTATTTATTGGATCAATTCATATGACCCAGAAGTTTGAATCTTTAAGTTCGTAAACAAGAGGCTAAACCAGGATAGAAACCAACCACCACATCTTGTTGTGTTTCAAACAAATGCATGTGGTACATGAAGAACATGGAGTCTGAATTGTGGGTCATACGTAACAACCGGAGGACGATCAAGTTGGAGGAGAGGGTGATGGAGAGATTTTAGGGCAGTTTTGAGGAAGATGGAGGAAATGGTTGGATGGGAACTGAAAATGGGCTTTAAATCTTGTACATAATGCATAGAGAAATGTACCTCTTGATTTTCAACATTAACCATTGAACATGTGTTGGGTCACCTACTGATTTGGTGATGACCCACTGATCTGTTCATCTACCTTAACAACACTTAGTAGTTATTGGTTCTTTGTACATTGGTGTCTTGGTACATACTTAAGCCATTGGCAAAATCGAAGACTAGCCGATGTGAAGACAGAAGGTCACCGATGCGGTGCTGTAGATCAACTGTCTATTATACACACCAAGACTCCGAAGTAGCTGAAATGCATATTGAAAATATTTTGAAGCTACAAGCCGATTGAAGGAAGATCTTCATAGACCGAAGATTGAAAATCTTCATGGACTTGAGATTGAAGATCATGGATCGAAGATTGAAAAATCTTCATGGACTCAAGATTGAAGATCATGGACTGAAGATTGAAAAATCTTCATGGACTCAAGATTGAAGATCATGGACCAAAGATTGAAAATCTCCATGGACCGAAGATTTGTATGTAGCTGCTTGAAGCTACACATCCATCCAAATGAGATCTTCCTACAGACTGACCATATTTCTTCAAAGTTTGTCTCTACATGAACTGTGTTGTATGCATGCTGTGTACGATGAAAATGAGATATCAACATTGGTAAAGTCAAACTCTGCCTTCTTATCCTCAAGTGACAAGTGTCCCCATGCATTAAATGCTGAAGGTAGTATAAAAAGGCAGTGTGCATCTCCAATGCAAACAACTGGCTTTTGCAAGATTACTTAGTGCACTCTAAAAGCAATCGGCTATTCTCTTCTACTCCCTTGCTCTCCTGTGTGCGAAGAAATTCTTAGTGTTCTTCATTTCCTTTCAATAACTCTCTGTGTTGTTCTTGAAAGTTCTTCTCCTTGTAAGATTGTTTAGGTTAGGTTTTCCTTTCCTATCTTCAGCAACAATCTTTTGTATTTTTGTGTGTATTAATTCTTGATATAAATCAATAAGAATTAAAAAGTTGAAAAAAGTATGTGTAATTGTATTCAACCCCCCCTTCTACAATTACTTTCTGTTTATTGCCTTTCCTTTCGGGACTAACAACATGCTTAATAATATATTATAAATATACACACTTATATATACACATATTTTATTGTCAAAATAATCTTATTTTAATCCACATAATGGTTTAATAATCATTATGACATAATTACTATATTTGTATTTTAATATTACATGTACAATGTTATTTGAAAAAAAAAAATACAAGTTACCTGTTCATATCGTAGTTGAATTAGGATTGAACTCTCAATATTCGTTTATTTATGGTTGAAAATATATATATTTAATTATTTTGTTATTTAACTAGAATTCAAATTAAAATTGATCGACTAAAGCTGTGTTTAAAGAACCTTTTGATTAACACTTACTATTTTTTAAACATCATGTTATCCATAAATAAAACGACAAAAAGTCGACAAATCACCTCACTTTTATTCAACCTTTTCCATTAAAACTAAAAAAATGATATTTTTATCGATCTATTTATTGACGATTTTAGTGAAATCATTGTTTGATTTATGTAATTGGATCCATAAAATAATATAGGGTTGCTAGTTAAACTATGAATTGTTCAATGTACGCTTGTTTAAACTAACTTGAACCCGAGATCGTTGAATGACGCCATATGGTGAGCGTCAAGGGTTCTAGGGCTGGCGCCCTTGGTGCGGATGAAAATGAGTTGTTGAAACTACCAACTGATATGCTACAAAGTACTAACTAATGGGTTATCAACTAAGGGGCCGTTTACCAAACACTAACCCGGTAAGTGCTTACCGGTAAAATTTAACACTCTTATTACTAACCGGGTAAGATTTTAGTCTACCAAAACGACATCGTATGCAATAATTTACCCGGTAAGCGCTTACCGTGGTAAGAGTTGTCGTCTTCACTTACCGGGTAAGACTCTTGGTCTTTGTCTCGCTCTTACCGGGTAAGATTCTTGGTCTTTACCATATTCATGCGGTGAGATAATGTTACTTGGTAAGCGCTTACCTAGAGTAAACATTTGGTGAACGGCTCCTAATAGTTATCCATTGATAAGTTATATGCCGATGGTTTCCCACTTATGGTATATCAGTCGATGGGAATTTTCCATCAGTCTTGCAACTATACTTTTATAACTACCCACTAATTATTTCCAGCAACCATTTCCATATAATGAAAAGTTATTTTCACACTTAATATAAGAACGGTTACGATTCTCTAGGTTTAAAAGGATCGATTTCTTCTAAAATCTATTTATTGAGTTAATTTCGTGATAACTGGCAAATTTAGATTAAAACATAACTTAAGAAAAATGAGCTTTTAACCATTGACCAAATTTTACCTTTTTCACTTTAACAACTATATGTAATTTTTCAAAGATGTTTACAATGTAATTTGAAAAGAACTCGAAGACAGAGAATCATGTGAGAATAAGAGTCAACGTAAAATCCCCAAATTTAAATACAGTTATCTCAATTTTAATATTTAATTTATTAATAGAATATATTATTTTAATATAAAATCCCCAAATGTAAGAGGTGTTGGGATTGCTTATTTAAAACAACTTATGTTTTTTTTTTATAAATAAAAGTGTTTATCAATTTATACGGTGACAAACTGAAGTTTTATAAAAAGTGTTTGTATTAGCTTATCACGGTACCACACCCAATAAGTTGATAAAATAGATGAGATACCTTTTTCTTTTCTCGTCTAAACACTAAAAATTCATTGTCACCGGTACCACATCGGAATAAGTTAATAAGTTAAAAGAAAATAAATTATTAGAAACTTCTTATCACTGGTGCCAAACCGGTATAAACATTTTTTTTTTCTAATCCAAACACTAAAAACTTCTTACCACATTATAAATAAATTAATAAACACTTTAAATAAGCAATCAAAAACTACCCTAGGACCGTTTACCAAACACTTACTTGGTAAGCGTTTACCGGTAAAATTTAACACCATCACTTACTTACCGGGTAAGACTTTAGTCCACCAAAACAGCATTGTATGCAACAATTTACCCGGTAAACGTTTACCATAGTAAGAGTTATCGTTCTCATTTACCGGATAAGACTCTCAGTCCTTGTCTCTCTCTTATCAGATAAGATTTTTAGTTCCTACCATATTCATCTGATAAGGTAATACCACCTGATAATGTTTTTTTCCCGTTAAGGTGGTCTAAAAAAGCAAACAAAGGCCACGACAAGGGTTTTGTAAAAAATGTGGTAAAGGCCACGATAAGGGTTTTGTAAAAAATGTGGTTTTAACTTCCAAGCTCGATCCCACCCAATCATGGTTTGTGGTTTCTGTTTCATTTCCAAAAGTGTCAAAACACACACTACAGTTAACGAAAGCTCATTCAAGACGATCTCTTTGAGTATGAAAGCTACTTGAAATGCTATTAAACCCCACTTTTTTGACCCCTTTTTCTTCTCTGATGAAATTTGCTGCAACCTTAAATGCAGCCGCGATTTTTCTCTTCCTGAATCCTCTCAGGTTTGTTCTTTCCGCTATCAATTTGTACACATTTCAACACTTCACCATTTTTGTTGAATATCTGCTTCGATTCAATATGTTTAAGGGGTTCTTATTTTACAATGTTATTTGGACTTTCAGTTTTGCTGTTATCTGATTCAATTTTTACTACTGTTAGTAATGCCACATTTGGATTTCTTCTGCTTAAGCTGTTATTTGGATCTCGGTTTCCTTCCTAGACACGCATTTTGTATTGCTTGTCCAATTTGGTTTAATTTTTGCTGCAATTCTATAAACTTTAGGGGTTCGTATTTGTGCCTTTTGATTTTCTCTGGTTATTCAGGCTTTTTAAATTTTAACTCGTGAATTTGCTCTTTATTCATTCATTTTTCACTACCAATCGTAATGCCACATTTTATCCAGGACTTATTAAACAGATTTCTGAAGATTGAAGATAACTCGGCTTGTTATTTTGTGTTTTCTAAGAAACAGGTCTTCGTAGGCAAATTTCCTTTGCTTTTCGACATACAGCAGACTCGTTTACTCTATAGTGCTGATTATTTCTGGATTTAAAGCCATTATGGCAACATGTATATCGCAACTGTCAATGCCTTTAGAAACTCGAGATTCAAAGGGGGTTCTCACTGTTTTCCGAAGAAGAGTTCCAATGGAGAATCACATGGGAAGAGCGGGTTTCTTGAAATCAAATGATAGAAAGCATGACATTGCTTCATATGCCCACCAAATAAGATGTTCAGCAAATTCTCACAGCATCAATCAGTTCAATAACAAAGACTCGTTTCTCAATCTCTGCCCTGAAGTTTATCTGCTTAGAGGCCAGGGAAACAACGCCGTGATTAGTCCACAGGAAAATGGGTCAGGTCGAATAATTACTGATAATTTGAGAGATTCGGCGATCGCTAGTAATTACAACGAGGCCAAGATTAAAGTCATTGGTGTTGGAGGAGGTGGGTCAAATGCGGTCAATCGTATGATTGAGAATGCAATGAAGGGTGTCGAGTTTTGGATTGTTAACACAGATGTTCAAGCCATGAGAATGTCGCCTGTTTTTCCCCAGCAGCGATTGCAAATTGGGGAAGAGTTGACCCGGGGACTTGGTGCTGGTGGTAACCCTGATGTTGGTATGAATGCTGCTAAAGAAAGCACACAATCCATTGAAGAAGCTCTTTATGGTTCAGATATGGTCTTTGTGACTGTAAGTTCTTTCCTTTTATCTATTGGTGCATAATTTCCAAAGTTTGATTCTACTTTCTGAATGCCACTTGCTAAAATGTAAGATATGTGTGACGAACAAAGCATTAACTGTGACCAAAATGCATCAAAATGCTACGAATTTTGTCGTAGTTCTTATTTAGTGTAACAGTAACTTTTCCCCTCAATTAGTGTAACAAGTGTCTCTATTATGTACCTATTTTTACCGCTAACTGGTAGATCTTGTAACTATTGGTTATGTAGATGCCAAATTGTCAAGTTATATTGTAATTCTTGATTAGTTGGAAAAATCTCAGCATCAGAATCATCCAAAACCACGTAAGCTAATGACCCGTTTATAGGTAAAATAGGTACGAAGTATGAAGAATTGAAAGTTTGTTAATTGTTACACTAATTGAGAAAAAAATTATTGTTACACTAAACAAAAACTAAAGCAAACTTTGTTACATTTTGATGCATCTTGCCCTTTGATGACTGTTTAATACGACAACCTAACCATTCATGATTAGGCTATGAAATGTTTAAATTGGGCCATATTCATTCTATCATTACATTTTGTGGCCAATTATTTATGATGTGAGGAAAAATGAAGACGCGATTGTTTGTGTTACTTGATGTGACACCTACCGAAGGGGGAATGGAGGAAAATGGTATAAACGAACGACATCTTAGTTTTCAGATTAAAGTGAATCATGTTGACCAAAATCAATATCATAAAGATCTTTTGTAAAGGAAACATTTCAATTAATACGAACTACGAAGAACAAAAATGGGTTTCAATGCAAACAGTTTTTTTCAGGAATTTGCTTACACCTTATGCACTTTTCAAAATCAATTAGTACTTGATCTTGAGTTAAGATGGATTAGTATCGATCCTTTTGAGTTAAAACCGTCATATTAGCTTCACTTAGCTTCAAATATTTGTGTGCAGGCTGGAATGGGTGGAGGAACAGGTACCGGTGCAGCCCCTGTGATTGCAGGGGTTGCAAAGTCAATGGGTATATTGACTGTTGGTATCGTGACAACACCTTTCTCTTTTGAGGGTCGGCGAAGAGCAGTTCAAGCACAAGAAGGAATTGCATCTTTGAGAGAAAACGTCGACACTCTGATTGTCATCCCGAATGACAAGTTATTGACTGCTATTTCCCCATCTACCCCTGTAACAGAAGCTTTTAATCTAGCTGATGATATTCTCCGACAAGGTGTTCGTGGTATCTCAGATATAATTACGGTATGAGATTCAAGAGTGAATGGTAAAAAGTTAATTTTTATGGTATTCTATATTCAATTTTGGCCTTTGATTCATATCTATAGCTTATATAAATATGATGAGAAATCAACAAGCAAACAAACCAAAGTGGCCCAGGCCTGTCCTTTATTTCAAAGAGTAGTCTTACTGTTTCTGTGAAAACCTTCATCTATAATTCAACAAGCAAACACTTTTCTCTTAAAGCAAACAAGTTTCTCAATGTTCAAGTGCATGCTTTTTGTGTCTAACCTCAAAAAAGGAACAAAATAACTCGAAAATATGAGTTACTTTAAACATTTGCAGATACCAGGTTTGGTTAACGTGGATTTTGCTGATGTTCGAGCCATTATGGCAAATGCAGGCTCATCGTTAATGGGAATAGGAACTGGAACAGGTAAGTAGAAAACACTATATTATTAAACAGATTGCTTGTTCATTTTGCTTTATTTTTAATTAATCCCATTATCTGTGTATCTTTACCAAACAATGTGGTGGCCTTTAGGAAGATGAACTTGGGCTAGGAGCCGAATCTCATGAGTTCTTGTCTTCTTCCATCGGCATTGTTAGGATATATTGAACCTGTTTGAATCTCTCTCTAAAAGAGCCCTTATAGAGGRGGGGGGGGGGGTTCCTACACACACGCGCGCGCACACACACACACATACAGGTTTAATGGTCCATGTCTAGCCAATATGTGACTCAAACGCTCCCTCAGATGGAGGTTGGATGGTGCTCCCAAGAACGAAGGTAAAAGAGTGTGACGAGTCCCTTGGTGCTAGACCCCGACTCTAATACCATGTTAGGATATGTGGATCCTCTTTGAATCTCTCTCTAATGTTGTGTTCTCGAATATTAGGAAAAAAGAAAGTAAAAGAAGAGAAAGTGAAGTTTTATATTTGTGTTTTTAAGAGCGAATGGAAAGAAAGGAAAAGGAAGGAAAGAAAATAAAGTTTCATGTTCTCGAGCGGGAGAGAAAGGAAAGTTTTGGGAGGAAAATCAGTCTCATTTTCCTTTCATTTTTCTCTAAAAAACTTGAGAACACGAGATTTTTTCTTCCCTCCCCCTCCCTTTCCTTCCTAAAAATTGACTCGAGTACACAGCGTAAAAGAGCCCTTTTAGAGAGGAGAGGGTTCCTACATATATATGTACACTCACACCTACACCCTTTAATGGTCCGTGTCTAGCCGATGTGGGAATCCAACACGCCCCCTTAAAGGGAGGCTGAATGGTGTCCCTAAGAATGAAGGCAAAAGAATGAAATCTTGTTGGAACTGTCCATATCCGATTCATCCTTTGGAACCAAATTCCATTTTCATGGATATGGATTGATGTAGATATAGTTATTGGCCTAATCTCTCGAAAGAGTAATTTGAGTGTGTCGAGTCCCTAGGTGCTAGATTCCGGGTCTCATACCATGTTAGAATATGTGGAACCTCTTTGAATCTCTCTTAAAAAACCCTTATCGAGGGAGGGAAATTCCTACATGTATACATGTTTGATAGTCTATGTCTAGCCGATGTGGGATTGACACTCATATAGTAATGCATGTGAAATTGTATCTTCATTTTATCCTTGTAAGATGACTCCACCGACTGCGGGGCCAATTAAAGCTTGCGGGAATGAAAAAGAGATGCTATAATGACAATTTCATACACCACCACCTCCATATCATGATTATGAATACAAAAGGCATAAATCATGGATTTTTCTTTTTGAAAAATCTACCCAAAATGAGGTGAAAGAGAACCTTAATTTGTGGTACATTTCCTTCCCATGTTTAAAAATAATGTTCTAAGATGTCATGAATTTTGATGTTTTTTACTCTCCATTCCAAAATGTTGGTCCTGACTGATTTGGAATGCAACTATTAAATAAGAGTAAACTCCACTTTTGGTCCCTGTGGGCTTACCAGAGACCAGAAGACCTCAGATGCGGGATTACCTGTTGATGCGGTAGATGAGGTCTTTGCGTTTTGCAAAAACCGTCCCTGTGCTTGAATAAGTCCAGATATAGTCACCGTGGTATGCATTTATGCATTTTGCTTTGAAAGTGGTTTCTGACACCAACACTGTTGAAAATTCCATTAAGTGAGGGGCATTTTTGTCTTTTTACCCATTTGACTAATTTTCTTTTACATGCTCCTGTTTCGGAACTTCTTTAAACTCAATTGATGTACCCATTTCTTTACAGGTAAGACCAGGGCAAGAGATGCTGCATTGAATGCGATTCAATCACCTTTGCTAGACCTTGGAATTGAGAGGGCAACTGGAATCGTTTGGAATATAACTGGTGGTCCTGATTTAACATTGCTCGAGGTCTCTCTCTCTCTCTCTCTTCTTTGTTTCTTCTGTGTATGATGCCACCCTTTGGAGCAACCCCACTATATTGGTCCCGTAGTCATTATGAGGAGGTAAATCATGTGTCCCAAAGGCACAAGGGTAGTGTGTGGAGTTGTAAATGTAATGCAAATCTCTCACTCATTCTGCAAGAACGCCCGGCTTCCGTACTTGCTATGCTAATGCTAAGCCTTTAACATGACGTTCCTGCAGAAAAGAAAAAAAAAAACTACTCACATTTGCAAGTGATTTATTGCCTTAAAACCACAAATGACAAGTAATTAAGAAAGAAAATAACTGATTTCTAACGTTTCAGTTTTTCAACCGATACTACTCAACGTGTGTTGATCAGTTTTCCATCCATTTGATCTCTTTATTATTATGCTTAAATCACATAATAAAAAGTGGGAAATCCATAAATGAGGTCTCGGGTTCAAATCCGGGCATCACCCACCTGCCTCATGAAGACCGTGGGACTGGTGTGATGGGGACACTTCAAAGGGTGGCGTATACCCCTGTTTTAAGCCCCCTTTTTAAAACTGCGTTTTTTTAGATATGAAATTTTGTATTGTCAAATATATTGTTACCCCCTCGTCTTCTTAATGTAATTATTGACATCTTCTAAAAGATTTGCATCAATATTATTGTAAGTAGTCCGTTCGATATTTGAAGATAAAGTAACTAACAGAGAACATGGGGAAATTAATAATTTAAAGCAGCTGTTTCCGTGAAGATTTTTTAAGGTCAAACATTAAAATTTTCATGGGACAAATGGCATACTACTTGGCTTGCATTTGTTAAACTGTAAATTTAAGTAATTTGTATCAAATCTGATATTAAAGATTCTTCCCCTTTAACTTCCATACTGATCTAGTTCAAATGGAACGTTGCAGGTAAATACTGCAGCTGAGGTCATATACGATCTTGTGGACCCCACTGCGAACTTAATCTTTGGAGCGGTCATTGACCCATCGATAAGTGGTCAAGTAAGTTTACTCTGTTGCTTAACCCGGATGGCACCGATCCTGATCTTTAGGGAGTGAAATCTATTTGAAAAACTCAGGTTGACATCTACGTGTTTTTATTTTTTGGTTATTCAGGTTAGTATCACCCTAATAGCAACTGGATTCAAGCGACAGGAAGAAAGCGATGGCCTGCCGCTCCAGGTACTATTCTCACCTGTAAATTAAACCGATTTCAGCTTCTCTTTTTGGGGAATCTTGTTTCCACTCTTCCCTCCAAAACTCGAATCTTTTTCAAAGAGGTTGGTTTAGGAATTTCACTAAATTAGAAAGAACCCTTTTTCTCTAATATGTGGGCTTTCAATTGTGCTTTCTACTTGTTTTACTTACTCTTTCTCTAAGCCAAAACCTCTCTCTCTGGTACGGAGGTAAGGTCTGCATACATCCTACCTCCTAGACCCTACCTTCAAGTTGGATATACGCCATTTGTTTGGTTTATTACATTGGAAAGAACCCTTTTCCCCCTAATATGTGGCTTTCAGTTGTGTTCTCTATTTGTTTTACTTGCCCTTTTCGCAAGCCGGGGTCTTCTAGGAAACATCTCTATGACTCTACCTTGGGGTTGGATATACCGAGTATGTTTGGTTTGATTTACTAAATTGGAAATGACTTAATTGCATCGTATATTTGGTGAAAATGCAGGCAGTGCAGGCAGATGTGGCTGGAATCAACCGACGGTCACCAACTTTCACAGAAGGCAGCTCGGTAGAAATTCCCGAGTTCTTAAGGAAGAAAGGGCGCTCACGCTACCCACGTGCTTAACAATGCCAATTTACCCTTTTGCCCTCGATATATAACCGAAGCATGCTGTTATAGGTAAAAGATCACCATAGTAGTCTAGTAGTGAAGGTTAAGAAATCGTTGTGCAATCCGCCATATTACCAATAAATGGCTATACTCATGTCGCAAAGTGGAAGGCAATTGGCAACTATATTACTTGTGGTCCAGATTTTTCGAACAAGTTTAGGGCGTGTAGTGAACTTGCCTGAGTTGAAATTGTACAGGATACTGCTTCCTTATTTGTTCAACCTATTTCCTTCATATCTGTCCTGATGCATTTTCTGTTGATCGTACTGTTTTGCTTTTTTGCATACACTAACTACTGTAGCATGCTTGTTTGTTTGTTTCTTTCAAATTTTGTTTTGCAAGCCGGGAGTCTTCATAGAAACAGTCTTTGCATCCTACCCTGGTCTTACCTCTTTGCTTGCGATATACAGAGCTGGCTTGATTTGCTTTGGTATGCATCCTTTCTGCCTCAACTGGAGTCGATCTTGAAGATGTTTGAATGACTATCGTATATCCTACTTTTTGATGGTGTCGCACTGTATTGCCTAATGAATGACTATATTATATGATATCCGAGCTTTATCGACAAATGAATGACTATATTATGTATGATACTGTAGAAAGAACCCACATGACAAAAATATGGTAGTTGCTACCTCTGAGCTTAAGAACTCCATGTTTATTTACAAAAATCCTGGAAAAAACTATAGAAGCTTACTCTCTTTGAGGCATTTGGTCGAACATCTTTTTGGCATGGTGGTATTGGCTGCACTTCCATCTCACGATGTATGCTTTACTTTGACCAGAAATAAAGGCAAAAAACTTGGTTTGACTTGGTACTTTCAAACCCTTAATTTAAGTTGACGTGTTTTTGAAGTCAAAGAATCAATTGCCAAAACTAAAGAAAACCAAAAAGATCATGGAGATTTAACCCAAACCAGTAACTGCAGGTGGTTGTGCAATCGAAACACGGTGGAACTCAAACTTATGTCGCGCCTAATCCTATTTACAACTTCCATTTCACGATGTATAAATTTATAAACAACGTTTGGAAACCTCTTCTCTTTGAAATGGAATCACCAAATAGAAAGAAACAAGATACATCCAGTTGTGAAGATTTGCTAGAAATTAGGCCACAGGAAGCAATTGAAACGAGCTCAAAAGACATGGGTGATGCAAGCTTATATGATCTTCACCTTTCATCCCTATGACAAATTATGTCACTGTGACCTGCATTTCATCATATACAAGTTTCCAAGTCATTTCCCAATCCAAAAAAAAGTTAAATACTACCAAAGGGTCATTGGCCCCGTGATACTCAGTAGGGCCCAACCTCCACAAGGTTAAAGTTTCAAACCACATCAAAACGAGGAGTGTACATGTGTGAGTATTTACCATGTATAAATACAAGAAACTAAATCCTTCTGCTAAAAAAGAAAAGGTATGAAGAGGGTTTCTCTGAGGTGACTCCACTATACTGGTCCCACAACCATCATGGAGGAGGTAAATCATGTGTCCTAATGACAGGTGGACCCCTCATTCATTCTGAATGGTACCCACCTCCTTACCCGCCGGGCTAAATCAGCGAGAACCTAAATCCTCCTAACAAACACTTGGCAAAAATATAAGATACCAAAGAAGACTTGCAATACTCTTCTATATAAAGTTAGCTGACGCTAGCAAGTAGCATGATGATCTCATATTGCAAGGGGTATTTTATATACTTAATAGCAATGATTTTGGAGCATAATTTCAATTAAATGTTCTATTTATATGGGCTCCGGGGGAGTATTGTAGTTCAAGAAGATGGTCAACAATCATTGTGCAAACTTGTAGACCCAAAATTTTTAAGTGGTGGCACCATTTGACTATAATAAACATATATAAATTTTTTTTCACAAAATTATCATTGGTCTGTTGGTTAGTTCATTGCTTTTCATATGTGAGGTCATGTGTTCAAGTCTTTTATTGCAATTTGTTTCCAAAAAATAATAAATTTGAAATTAAAAGCAAAAAACTGAAAAAATGACACTAAGTGGATTTGAGCTCGGGTCTGAAGTGGAAGAAAAACCTTGCAAACCAACTCTTCCAAAGGAAACTTGTGTCCTCATTGTAGTTTCAAAATATATACGATTATGCACAACAAATTGATACAGTGACACTTTTCACGACCGTGTAATTTTTTCCACTACGATGGAGGAATGAAACGGTGGCACGTGCCACTACGAAACCCCCTGGGTCCGACCCTGCTTGTAGCCACAATCATTTTATATCCTGCATTATGTACACTACCATATGAAAAAACAAACTAAGCAGTATTACTGTGCACTTCATGTTTTACTGTTGACAATTAGTTCAACAACTACTTACCTTTATAGAGGGCATTGATGGAAAACCAGGGTATGAATGAATTGCATTATGTAAAATTGGTACAAGTTAGAACAAACCTTGATGATCGATTGCATTTATTTGCGGTCCTGTCATTTCTACTCCATCATCATTAAGCAATAATATCCCCGATGAAGTAACTTCAAAAGGGAATGCAAGAGGTGGCGACATTGGAGATTTTGCCACCTTTATAAATCGTTGGCCTGCACCAAGAGCATCATGGTTGCTAGATAGTAGATATAACGCTAATAATGCTCACAAAGCATTGGTTCTTCTTTCTTGTCTGCTCACACTTTTGCACAATCCAACGGCCTTCATGGAAACAGCTTTTCTATCTTTTTGGGGGTAGGGTCTGGGGTTTGGGATGTACGCAAACCTGTCCCCAAGAGACAGAGCAGCTGTTTCGTGAAAACACCACCTTGCAAAAGCATGAGCGAAAAGGAAAGAACAACCAAGACTAGTAAAAAGTAAGTAGCAGAAAAAGAAGAAGAAAAACAGGCACATTGAAACATAGAAAAGGTAAGAAAAAGCAAACATCCCTCCATCATGTGCATTTCATTGGAAGATTGCATCATATGCGTTAGTAAGTGTTGAACCAACCTGATCTAGATTCAAGAACTAGACGAATGGTAACAGCATGAGCCCAGTGAATTCCCAAAGCAGCAACAAGATGAGAATCAAAATTGGCAGTATCTTCTATAACACCGACCCTGCTCTCCGCTGCATACGATCATTTTATATTGCATTTGTTAACTTAGAAGAAAACTTGCAACCTGTGACGGAAAAACATTGACTTCATACCTTGGAAAGAATACTGAGAGATTTCACTCGTGCTTCGAGATCTTACTTGGTTTGTCATCACCACGGGTATTCTTGAAAATTCAGCCAGTGACCTGGAGATGTCAATTAAGAAAGAAAACATAAGTCCATTAAATCAGTTAATAAGATAGTAGTTTTACAACAAAGAATAACTAAAAAAGATGGGCCTCACTTGACAAGTGATATATGCCAGCCCAATGGATGTTGCCTTGGAGGTCCTTGTTCGTATTCCCTGAAGACAACAGGATGAGCGTTCTACGCATATTGGTTTGTAGTGGGTTCTTAAAGTATTCTTAACCTTGTTATACAATGTTCCAGATGAAAACAAACTGATAATCAATGACAACGAGGGTTGCACAAGTCTTTAAAAGGTACGTTGAAAATTCATTAATTAATGTGGAACGAAGATCTCCATGAAGTCAGAGAGCTTACAACATAAAAACAACTGTATTCGGGCATACATAGAGATTTAAAATTAAGTTAACTCACCCTGAAACAAGAGCAGCCATGCTATCAATGACTAGCAACTTCACTTGCTGCTGGAGGATTGAAAACTTGATTTTCTGCAAGCTGGAAAGGGAATGTTTGTAAGGCATGAATATTTAGTCGATCATATACACCTTGTTAGTTAGAATTAAAGCAAATTTGTATGGCACAAAGATGGATATGGTAATAAGTATGGGGAGGCCTCTTTATATAAGCTAATCTCATAAACAAGTTCTTCTCATGTTGATTTCTATCAGCCCTGTCTGGGTTTTTCCCTCCTCTCTCTAAATGTCCCCGTTAGTAATTTGGGGGCTGTTAAATACAACAGAAAGGAGGGGAGTGGGACATTTTGTTTGGTGAAACTAAATTGGGCGGGAGCCTGGGAGAGAGCTGGCCTCTCAAAAGCTAGAATCCCTATTGCAATCTTTCGATTAATGCAAGCATTCCGAGCAGAGACGGACCTATTTTTTTTTTCCAACTAGTGGCTCCATTTGACTATAAAAAACAAATATAGAGATATTTTTCACAAAATCACCATTAGTCTGTTGGTTAGTTCATTGTTTTTCATATGTGAGGTCCTATGTTCAAGTCTTCTGTTGCAATTTTTTTTCAGAAGCATAATAAATCTGAAATTAAAAGCTAAAAACTAAGAAAATGACACTAACAGGATTCAAACTCCTGGGCTAGAATAAAAGCTTTGCAAACCAACTCTACCAAGGGAAACTTGTGTCCTTATTGTAGTTTCAAAATATATACAGTAGCACACAACAAATTGATACAGTGGCCTTCTTCACGACCCTATAATTTTTTACACTCCAACGTAGGAACAACGAAGCGGTGGCCCATACCACCATATGCACTACACCGGAATTGCCCCTGATTCCAAGTATTTTGCAGATGTGTATATCAGTAAGATGATAGAGTCAACTTCTGTACCTCTCAGTGAACTCGGTCAAGGAACCTGGTCGTAGAACTGTGATCCTACCTGCCATCTAGACAAAAACATGAAAAATGCACCTTCAGATGTCAAATATTCAAAACACTATAAAAAATATGCGAGTTTCCATCTTTTCAAATCCTAAATTAAGTGAAAGTTTCTTCGGACAAATTCATGAAATCCTTTGCTTCAAACTTGAGTAATCAAGTTTTTAATAACCATCACAGGACTTTTCTACCTTTCTTCCCAATTCACCATATACCAATCAAAATATTAGTTCCAATTAGGGCACTTAGGGAGATTATCTAGTAGTCAAACACTTATCTTAATAAGAATTTTTGTATGCTTGCACTTACTGTTTAATGTAGAGTGTGGCAAATACAAAGCATACCTCTTTTGCCATGCCCTCCAAACAAAATATTTCTGGGAAACTATTGAGACCAATTTCAATTAACCTGTAAAGAACAGATCAAAGCATCAAAATATTAGGAACTACAGATTTAACATAAGCTAAAGCAAAGCCAGTCAAAAGGAAAAAATAATTAAAAACAAAAATAAAAGAAATGCAGCTCATAGGTACCTTCTTGAACTAAATTTGGATTCTACATCAATATATATTACATGACCATCCAAGCCTCCATAACAAGATGGCAGTGTAGCCAAAAGAGAAATCTTCAAGCAGAACTGCAATTCAAACAATGAGATAAAAAAATGACCAAGCATACCGACTACTGTCTACTATCGCCTAAAATGTCTACTGAAGCATATGATATTTTGATTGATGCACTAGAAATTGGTATGTATAAACACAAAAAGAAGGTTTGACATACTTGTGATTTTCCAATTCCTGCGGGCCCAACCAACTCCGTCAAAGCACCAAATGGTATTCCACCAGATAATGCTGCATCAAGACCCTTGAGATGCGTGGGAAGATGGCCTGTGAGATACTCATTTTGCATTCGTTGCTCCAGCAGAGATTGCACCTAAAATCACAGCTGAAACAGTTAAGATCAATATAATATAATTCCGATTGTTCCACCCCTTTCGTGAACAGAGCTAATGACAAGTGCCAATTGATGCATTGGCACTGCCACTTCTACAGTTCTACTAGCACAGTGACCGGATGTTGGAATCTTGTTATCAGCAGAACAGAGCGGATTGGTACCATAAAAACTGAACTCTGTTAAGAGGGTAAGCTTACCGTTTGATATGGTGGAGAAGCAATCTCGCTAATGAGAGCCACTGCACACATAACTTCTGCCAAATCCACATCTAACAATTCCATCAACTCAAATTCAGTCAATGACAATGCATCCTAACAAAAAAGATTATAGACAATAAAGTCAATGCTAAGGACTAACTTAAATAGGTTATCCTTTTTAATTGTAATTACTCCATACGTTTCTGATATCGTATCTTCCTATTTATATGTTCCCACTGAAGTAACACGAGTTGGGTGAAAAGAATAGCAGTGACCAACAATCAACAGTGCTTTTTAGGCTTTACAGTTGCCTTTCCCCAGATAAACGTCTCACTCGGATTAGAATGAAAGTAATATAGAACACAACAGGATGCAAATGGAACACTGATCGATTAAATTAGACGGATAAACGAAACCCTAATCGTGAAAATGATGAGCAATAGGGTTCGACATATAGTTTGAATCGGAAGTTGTACCTTTGCAGTGATGATATTGCGAGCAGCAAATATGTTCCCAATGGATTTGGGCAGACCCATTTCACCGATCACCTTGTTCGCCATATCTTTCCCGCCAAATATGACAGATTCTTTACAGAAATTTCTCTAATAGGAGATTTAAAAGTTTAATTATTTATAGAGTGAATTACATTTTTAGTCCCCCTCGTTTACCAAAAATCTGGTTCTAGTCCCTTGACTTTATTTAATTACATTCTCGCCCATATGATTTGCATTTTGTGTTGGTTTTGGTACCTAAGGCTAACGACCGTTAGAATGGACCATTAAAGGGGTCACATGCTTCGCAAATGAGGAGCATTTTAGTCGTTTTATATCTTACTTTATAAATAAAGTTGCCGCCTACTTCATATTTCATATCTTCATGAATCCAACTCTACCTTTCCTTCTTTTTCTAGAATATACAAATCCCGATTCTCCTTCATCTCTCCCCTGCTTTCTCTTTGACATCGTTAATGACCATCACCTCGTGGCGCCACTCACATTGGCACCATCCCTCTCTCAATCTCAATCCCTCTTGACAACAACGACGATGGTCGTTGACCTCCATCTGGGTTTTGCTTCAAGAACTCTCTTTTGTCTCTCATGCTCTCTCTTTGACGACGCTGGCGACCACCACCTTATGTTGCCGCTCACTACATCACCCTCCCTCTCTCAATCCCTATTGACAACAACTCCATATGGGTTTTGCTTCAAGATGTTCAACTTTGTTATGCTTCAAAGTTGTAAATGTTTTTAGCGTTCTTGATATTGCTTCAACCTCTATCTTCAAATTTCTTTTTAGGGCCATTGAAACCCAGTTTTCGAGTTTTGTTCCTAGGTAATTAATGTTTTTAATGTTCTTGGTAATGCTTGTTATCGGCAATGTTCTTGATGTTTTTGGTCTGGGAGACGGATTTGGTTGTAAAATTTAGTGTATAATTTGATTTTGATGGATTTAATGACGTAGAACAAGATTAGTGTTGATTTTATGGATGTAATAATGTAGAACAAGACATTCATATGCTTGAATGGTCATCTTCATTTCTTTGTGTGAACAAGATGTTCATATGAGTTGGAAGAACAAAATTGTTCATGTAAAATGACCAAAATGCCCCTTGTGAGGAGCACAAAACCACCGTTACTATGATTTAGTAACGTGGTTTGGTTTATGGTTACATTTAGGTTAAGTATTTTATATTGTTTTACATATTAAATAATTATTTCATTAAAGTATTTTCAGTTTTAAAAGAACTAAAATTTTCAAAAAAAGGACATTTTGATCATTTACCAATATTTCATTCCAATTTCAAAGACATATTCCGTTAACCAAACAGACAAATTTTAATTTCTTAACAGATTATATTTTAATGTCTGCTAACCAAACAGGTGGTCAAATCCGACAACATTCTATTCCAATTTTTTCGTAGTCAAATTTCTTTAATAGATTCCATTTCATCTAAAAACATTCTGCAAACCACCACATAATTTCATCACATCTGCTAATGCATAGATATTCAACTGCCCCAAGATGTTCAAAAACATCTCCAGATAGTTGAGTAAGTCCTTCTATATTCACCATTTTCAATCTCAAAATTGATGGAGACACCAATCACTAGCTGGTCTAGTGTTCCTAGGAGGTCTAGTGTTCGAATCCCACCCTATTCAATTAGTTGATCGGTACCTCCTCCCCGCAAATGCCATGGGGTCTGCAGTGCAGGGGACTATTGGAGAATTGGTCCTGGGTTCGATTCCAACAGGCTGCAGGTTACCTGGACAGGGGATTGCCAGGGGGCGCGCCTATGGAGGTAGGGTGGCGTCGGTCCAATGCGAGCCGGGGTCAGGGTGTCTCTGCCACATCACACCTTTTGTAGAATTGATGGAGACACACCAACCATGCTTTGTCACAAAACATCCTTGATCTCTAAAACCTCAACTAATGGTATTGACTCAATTTCCAACACATTTAGGGCCCCGTTTATCAAACGTTTACCCGGGTAAGTGCTTACCAAGTCACATTATCTTACCCGATGAATATGACAAGGACCAAAAATCTTACCCGGTAAGAGCGAGACAAGGAACAAGAGTCTTACCCGGTAAGTGAAGGCAACGACTTTTATCACGGTAAGAGCTTACCAGGTAAATTATTGCATACGGTGTTGTTTTCATGGAGTAAAATCTTACCCAATAAGTAAGTAATAATGTTGAATTTTACCGGTAAATCATCGAGGAGGTCGTCTATGTCGTAAGCCAAATGCTGGAGTTTGATGAGCCATAATTGAACAACTCTGTCTCTTAAGTGTTTCTGGGCTGCATCAACGAGCACAACTTGTATATGGGACAAGGAGTTGTTCCGTTTGTTGAGCTGAACATGGGTTCCTTGGGATCTAGCGAACCTTATTCAGACAGCAGAGGGTGTTTGGGATTGCTTATAAAAACAACTTATTGACTTATTCTGGTGTAACACCGGTAATAAGCACTTTTGAGTGTTTGGATAAACAACTTATACCGGTGCCAAACTGATAATAATGAATTTTTGAAGAAGTTAAACTCTTATGACTTATTATAAGTTGATAAGTGTTTTTATAGAAAAAAATAAGTTGTTTCATCAATGTATGATAATAATTAATAAAATGTATATTCTAAGATCTGTTTGTCTTCCTTTGCAAATATAATTAATGAAGTGTTATTGCTTTTTTTTTTTAACTTTTGACTTTCCAACCTTATTAGTGCTTCTTTATCTTTCCGTATTTAACTTTTCTTATGATATACTAAGAAATATTTATTTATTTTCTTATTTATGGTATCGGGTTGGATTTTGGTAATAATGGTAAGAAAGGATCTCCACTTTAGAACAATCTTAATTGAAGATCAACAACAATGAGATGCATCAAATCAATTCTCATGTCAAGCGCAGTTTTGGTTATTTGCCATAAAAAACGAGGAGATGAAGCTTTGCTAAAGAGTTATTTGACTGAATGGTTTAGTGCTGGATGATTAAGGGGCAGAATGGTTAAGAGGCTCTCATGATATAGTCAAAAATAAAATATAATTGTTTGGTAATTATTTACAACAAAATTAGGGCGTTGAATGGTTAAAGGAGATCCATGATACAAAATCATTTAGAGGGTTTTAGAACCGTTAAGAGGTAAACTTTTTTTAGCCAAACAAAATTCACCTCTTAACGATTAAGAGACTGATTCTTAATAGAATTATTAAGAGGTAAACAAACAACCCCTAACTCTATTTTGGATGAACCACATAAAATCATTTGTGTAACGTTTCTTTTTTACCCTTATTATTCTTGCATGATTATTATGTTTTGTTGAGCGTGGTTGTTAGATCTTATTTATAATCTTGTATTTCCCTCGCCCCTTCCACCGTCACACTTGGTATCCTAGAGGCACCATTGGTTTCCTCCGAACATGAGCAAACCACCACCACAACTATATGAGGGTCATGCTATACTTAACACGTCGAAGGGAATAATGAATAGCGCATAAATTACGTATAACATGACTGCAAAACCTCTCTATTATACAAATATATCCAAATAACAACCATTATACTATCAAATATCATCATAGTCCCTACTCCTCCTGTCAAAAAGAAAGTCAATCCTGTTGCTGAGGAAAGAAACCTACATCAGTTTGCTGGTTATGATGGATGCTACTATTGCAATGAAAGGGGGCAGATTGTTGGATACAGATGCTGTGTTCATCAATGGAGGGCTTGCCCCAAAACTTCCCAGCCCTGTGCCTGTTGGATCAGGGTTTCCTAAGCTAAACCCTGGTGGAGGAGATTGCATCCTGTAAAATCAAGATATATATAACTTAGAAAATTGCTGATTTTGCCTCTATTAATTTTAATAATTAAATGCTAGCAAGAGCAAACAGTTCACCCCGAAGATGATGATGATGATGATGATGATGATGATGATGTGTTAGGCGTAGGCAGAGATGTTGGATTAACAGGTGCTTGTGTAATTGGTGATGTGGGTGTTGAAGTAGAAGACGATGATGATGATGATGCTGGGAAGACGCAAGAGCCTGTGCCTGTTGTTAAATCACATAAATTCAGCATGACAAAAATCAGAAACAAATCTTTAATTAAAATGAAGGGTATATAAGTTTCTGTTACTTGGATTGTTCGTGGTTATAACAGCAGCGCCTCCAAAATCGCAACTTGTTGGGACTGGGTTCTTCTGGTAATAGCTGTTAAAAGCATATGAAGCATGATTCTCAAGTGTTGGTGGATCATAACAGCTTGCACCCTGCTGAATCGTCGAACAATCAGCCCCCCCAATCCCACATGCATAATCAAGGGCCGACTGCACTGCTGCCTGCGACGCTCCATTCTTGGCTATGCACCAGCGACCTCCTCCTCCTCCTCCTCCTGATGTTGACGGAGGTGGCATTATGCTGCCTCCTGATGTTGACGGAGGTGGCATTATGCTGCCTCCAGATGGCGGTGATGGTGTTGGATTTGTACTTGGGGTTGTAACTGGATTAGTGACAGGCGTATTTATTGGATTGGTAACAGGATTAGCACCTGGCACCGTCACAATCCCTGGTGCAGAATTAACAGGAGGGGTAGTCACAGCTGGGGTAGTCACAGCTGGGGCAGTCACTGGATTCGTTATTGGGGCTGACGGTAAGGCTGTGGTTGGAGGATCAATTGAGTCAAATTCGGTTAATTTATAGTGAAAATATTCAATGAGTGTTCTATGTATACGAGGAAATAACTCTTCTTTCTCCCTATCAAGCTCCATTCTCTCAAAATCATGCGAGTCTTTGACATATGGAACGTCTGACCCCTTGACTGTCAAAATCAGTAGTACACTAGTAAACATCATAGGTTTCAACATATCAAATATCTTTTTCAGAAAAGAATTGCCACACTTGGCACAAGCTAGGAGTTGTCACATAAAAAGTCGTTCTATTATTTTGAGTAAAGGTCAGGTCCGTGTACATTCCACTGCTACAGGTGGAATATACTAAGCTGGTTTCGTTTCGTTTGGTTCATTTATTAGAATCCGGATGAATCAAGTACAACATAGTCCTGGTTTCCTCATCCTCACAGCAAAAAACTTCATATACTAACCAAAGGTGATGTCGGCCTTGGCATGGAGGACCAAGACTTATATTGTTCCTGCAGGCCCATGACCGGGCTAACAGAGGGTGTCGCTCTAGAACGGGCATAACCATGTAACTTTGCTATGAGACTCTGTTTCAGACCCATAATGCGTCCATTTGAAGCTTGAAACGAGGAGCACGACCTAGGTAGGACCCAAGGGGCCTACGAGATCTTTGAGGCCTATAAACATGACATTTTTTTAGGTGATTTCTATTCCAATAACAAATGGGTTCATGGGATTACTGCTATTTCTTTTTTTGATTTCACTTCCTCCCCTCTCCCTCCTTATAACTACAGAATGATTCAGAGATGGCCCAACAACCCTTTCATAGTCAAAGTTCCTCTCCCTCTCCCTCTCCATCGTCAAAGGGTTTTCTTCTTAACTTCCTTCTTCCTCTACAATACCTAATTCTTGGATTTATGCTTAAATTAATTCGTTTTGTATGTAAATATGCTAATTGTTTATAGCTTGGAAGTTGATCCTCGGATTCGGATTAAAAAATTCCATTTGAGGATTTAACAATCACTTTTGTGCAAATTGAAATTGAGGAACATGGATGATTATGGCAAAAGCCTTTTTACTACCATCTTAAAAGTTTAGAGATCCATGTCTTCAACATTTTGGTGTTACTGTCTGAAGCCAATCGTATTCTAAACTAAAACCCTGCTTAATAACGTTAAAAAAAAGAGACTAAAACCCTAATCTCAGATCTCAATCATACGAAACAGATCCAAAACAACTTTCATCCATTTAAACTATATAAATCCGATAACAAGTTACACATGTAATTAAGATTGTTTCATACACTAACAATTTAGGCAGTCAGAATATATAAACGCTTACATCGAAATTTCAATGAGGAAAGCACTTACCTGAATTGCCTAAAAACAGAGCCAAATGCACGAAGAAGAAGATGGATGAAGGCATGATTGCTTAGATTGAGTAGATGTTGATTGTTTGGTGAGATGTGGAGGAGAAGTGGGATTTGAGAGGGAAATGGGGTTTGTATAAAAGATAGTGATGGTACAGAGAAAGCCATTGGAGAGTGTGAAAAAGCGAGGATGATGAAAAAAGTGGATAGTAGAGATGAAAAAGGCGAAGAAAGCAAAAGACGAGAAGAATATGTCGTGTTGGTATTGAATATGGCGAGCCATGATAAGGAGGTGGTAAAGTGATTACTTTGGCATGAAGATTGAACATCAACTTTTATACTTTCTCATTTGAATATGATAAAGAACCACGTCAAGTGGTTATTTTGAATATAACACACACACACACACATATATATATATATATATATATATATATATATATATAGGGGCCTAATCAAATGAGAACTAATTAGTTTGTGGTAACTGTGGGAATCAATATTAACTACAAATCAATAGATAAATTAGGAAATTTATAATTTTGACAATTTTGAATTAAAATTTTAATGCAAGGATATTTTTGGTATTTTACAACTTTCCTCCCTCCTCTCTTCTCTCTCCGGCCACCGTCCGCGGGCCTCCCCCCAATTAATTGAAATATTAATTATGATCAATATTGGTTGTACAAATGTAAGAAGTTGTATAATAACCAACCCCCTCCCCCCCCCTCTCTCTCTCTCTCT